AAAAAAAAAAAAAACAGTATGGGGGTGTTGGGGGGTTGTAGTTCAGTGGTAGAGCATTTGCCACGTGGGAGGCACTGGTTTCGATCCTCAGCACCACATAAAAATAAATAATAAAACAAAAAGATATTGTGTTCATGTACAACTAAAAACAATTAAAAAAAAAACAGTATAGGAGGGGCTGGGGCTGTAGCTCAGTGGCAGAGCACTTGAGGTATGGGCACTGGGTTTGGTCCTTAGCACCAMATAACTAATTAATAAATGAATCAAAATAAATGAATAAATGCTTTCCATCTGCAACTACCAAAAAACCCTGAAAGTATGAGAAGCCAGGCATGATGCTACATGCCTGTAGCCCCAACTACTCAAGAGGCTGAAGAAGCATTTTTTATTTACTTATTTTTATGTGGTGCTGAGGATTTGCCTTACACGTGCTAGGCAAATACTCTACCACTGAGCTACAACCCCAGCCCAGGAAGGATATCTTGAGCTAATAGGTGTGAGACCTACCTGGGCATAATGATGGAGGAAAAAACCAACAACCCAAACTCTTCCCAGATCCATCAGAGACGTGTTCATAGAGAAAATGGCAGTACAGGAGGCCAGCTTAGCTAGCACGAACAAGAACCTGTGTTTGAACCCTAGTACGTGTGCACACACACAAAACAGTATGGCAGTGCCATTAATAAACTGTTTTAAGATATCTGATTAGCATGTAAAAAGTTTCAGACTCCCTCACACCACATTAAAGTCCATCTTCCATTCTGTGTTGATCAAAGAGCTAAATGTAAGAAACTTTAAATTATTAAAGTAGAATAAGAAAACAGCGCAGCAGGTCTTTAAAATATTATAATAAAGGTATTCTTAAGGAAAACTTGTCTATCATAAAAGATGCCACAATGCTATAGAAAAAGCTGARAGATACTCAGAGAAACACCTACAATACATAGGGTTATTAACCACAGCACATTTGAAGCTATAAAAATAGACAAAGTCAAACAATCCATCTAAAAATTATAAAGACTATCAATAGACAATTTGATGACAGAAGAAACATACAAATTTACACTAAATATATGAAAAAGATTTTTAACCTCTCTACTAACCTGGTAAGTACAAATTAAAATAACACATTACAAATAATAAGTATCAACAGAAAAATTAAATGTGCGACCATATGGTTATGTCAAAAATACTACAAATGCTGTAATTATAGAAATTAATAAAACTTATATAAATATACACATATATATTAACTAAGAGAAATAAATACCAATCTCTAAAAGGTGAACCACTGAGATTGGAGAAGCAAATAAAAAAGATTATTCTCATTTTTAATTTTTCTCTTTTGTCTGCCCTGTATAAATTTTTCTTTCTTTTTTTTTTTTTTTTTTTTGGTGGGGGTGGAGGTGGTACCAGGGATTAAACCCAGGGGCCCTTTACCACTGAACCACATCCCCAGCCCTTTTTATTTTGAGACAGAGTCACACTAAGTTGCTTAAAGCCTCACTAAGTTGCTGAGGCTGGCCTCAAACTTGCAATCCTGTCTTAGCCTCCCAAGTCACTGCAATTACAGGTATGTACCACCACATCCAGTTACACTGTATTAATCTTTATCGTAAGAATTCATTTATGTATTATATGTGCAATTATATTTTTTAATTTAACTCACATCTTCCTTTTGTATTGTTACAAAACTGAGTAGAGTATGGTAGCACACACTGTCATCCCAGCTACTCAGGAAGTAGATGGCAAGTTTGAGGCCAACCAGGGCAACTTGAACCCTGTCTCAAAAGAAAAAATAAGAAAAACTGGGAGTATAGCACAGTGGTAGAGTACTTGATTAGCATGTGCAAGGCCTTGGGTTTGATCTGTAGCACCCCAAAACAAATAACAAGCCTAAAAAACCCAACAATGAATACACTTACTCAGCTAGCCAGACAGACAGACAGCTGGTATGTACACCTACATTCGCCAAGGTAGAATAATTAATTCTGAAGACACAAAGTGATATGATCAAGTTCCTAAAGAATTCAGAATGTGGTGGGACTGCATAACAGTTATTCACTATGCAAAAGGCTCTGGGCTATAGGAATACAGATGAGGTATTATCTAAGTTAGGGGAAAGCTGGGAAAATTTTACAAAGGAAACTGGTAACTTCTGATTAGGCATCTTCAAAGACAAACAATAATTTGGGGGTTGTCAGGCAGGGTTTTGGTAGAATATGTGCACAGATAAGAAGGCACAAAAGTGTGGCATATGTGATGAATCAACCAAGACCACTTACCATCCCAATACCATGAGCAAAAAAAGTTATGTTATCAACTGAAAAGTAAGGATAATGGCACCTTCCTCAGAGGGTTGCTGTGATTAAAAATAAGATGGTATGTTGAGAAGCATATGAAGGGAACTTGGCTGCTATCATCTTCCACCCACTGATGTCAAAGCCTGACCTGGCTGCTTGGCCTCAGGCTGTTGTCTCCTTTTCCTCTCACTGTTCCTCCAGAAGCTGTCTATGTATGGGAACACCACAGCTGTCCAGTCATATACAATGATCTAGCACAGTTCTTAACACATTGTATTTACTCAGAACACATTAATCTCTCCTTTTAAATGGATGTTTGGAGTTCCACAGAACTATTCCTGGCAATACCCCTAGAATTGCCCTGCAATTGCTCTGAGGGTCCCAAGTCTCAGTGTGAGTATATTTAAGAAGCACCCCACCCACTCTATACAAACATTACTTCATACTTACAGGCTGAGGCTGTTCTGCAATACAGCAGTTGAAACACAACCAGAATTCACTCATGCTTACAGTCCAAGGTATAAATGAGCACCAATGAAGGTTCCAAATCTCACTTCAGGAAGCTCCACAAAGTATGATCCTCAATGTGATGAATATTCAATCAAAACAAAAATTGTATTTCACTGCCTTTGTTCTTGGAAGTCAAGTATCTTATATATAGTCAGTGTAAGAAAAAAGTCAGATTGTTTCCTTTTCTTTGCTTCTGGTTCTACAGAGACTTGTTTCTGAACCAGCAGGAAGGTACAAAATTGCTCTCCTGACCCAGGGCCTATAACAGGTAGTCTAGGAAAAAAAGAAAAAAAACATGAAAGTAAGTTAACGTTATTTAAACTTAGAAGCTCTTACTTCTTAAATCTGTAATAAAACTAAGAGTAAATATACCCAAAAGAGTAAACAATGAAAACCTTTTAACAAATGGATACTCATTCAACAAATTATCTTTTAATTAATTCTTGAAAGTCAAATGTTATAGTGAAAACAGAAAACCTTGCCTTCCTGGTAAATTCCATTTTATATATAAAAGTATTAATTATTTTATTGTTTTTAAATCACTAATTAGAACATTATGATTACTGTACATAAGTCTATTTCCAAGAAGAAACACTGATCAACATTTTCATATTCCTTCAGTTCTCATAGATAACCAAAGTGACAGCAATCAACTCTAAGAAGATAATCAAGGAGGTATGGTTCATCAAAAAACTAAAATTATCACCTTATCCACTGAAATTAGAATTATACACAAAAGTTGGACAGGGGTTAAGTTAGCTTCCTTCTGTGAATTGAGTCAGTAGATCCCCACCCCCACCAGAATGAATATCAGTCAAGATACTTTATGTCCTGCTATGCCAAAAACAATCCTTGTCAGGCAATTTTCTATCTGGAATTGGACAAAGAGTGGACCTACTTCTGATTTACAATTGTCACAATAATGACTTTGGTGAGCCATGATCCACCCTCATATAGAAGACAGTTCTGACAGGGCTGAGGATGCAGCTAGTAGTAGAGCCTAGTATGTACAAGACTCTGAGTTCAATCCTCAGCACCACAAAAAATAAATAAGTAAACTAAATTTCTGGGATCTTAATACTGATAAGCAGAGACAAAAGAGAAGAAGAAGCCCAAAGTGGTTCCTGTAATCCCTAAGACCAGTTACACCCATGCACCTGAAGTTTGTTTGGGAGGCAATGTCTCTCCCTTTTTAGCCCAAAGCTAAAAGTGATCCATATCACTTTTATTCTCCTACGACAGTCAAGTGAAGATGTCCAATAGACAACTGGATATACAGATCTGAAGCCAAGAGAAGTTTCAGAATCAGCAGCGTACCTGCTTCAGCAGATTGACTAAAGCAATGATAATAATAGAGGGGAAATAGTAGCATGAGAAGCAAAGAGGTCTTAACAGAAAACTGAGAAATAACTAATTTATGTGAGGCAGAGAAAGAGAAGTCCACAAAGAGRCTGGGTATTACCAGAATGAAAGAAAAAAGGAAAAGTAATTAAATGTGGTTATCACTGGAGTCTTTTTCAAGGAGGAAGTAGGTAACAGGATTAACTGCCACTGTGATAGGAGAACTGTCCATTAGATTTTGTAGCAAAAAGATATTTAGTGGTCCTGACCACCAACGTGAAAAAGCATGGGCAGAATTCAGATTACATTAGCTTGACATGTAAGTGAAACTAATTAGCAGAGTCAACAAGYAGAGGCAATGTTTTCAAGAAGAATGGATATAAAGGTTAAAAAGGTAGGCAGAGTGAAGAAAAACAGCCATCTTTGAAATGAAAAGATCAAAGTCTACTTCATTTAATTATTCAAAGGGATGTTAACATTTTTGTCAAAAATGGAGACACATAAATCACGTATTCATAAATGTTTGAAAGAAATCTCATACGAAGGTGTGCCCGCTATAAACCATTAACAACCATATTATAGTATCACAGAACCCTAAWTATTAAGCAAAATGAATTTCTCCCTTTTGCTGAACAATGCCATGACTCTTTAAACTTTAAAAATAGATTTTTATATTTGTGTAGATGAAGATCTTTAGTGAAGATAAGTGAACACATACTCAATGTCACAGATGTGAACAAAAAGGCATAAATTCTGCACCATGATTTGACAGAGTCCTATCATGCTATATAGGAAATGAGATATTAAAATTAAAACATGTTCAAAGATAAACAGAAGAAAGAAAAATCTACATTCCTGCCATAATTAGAATTTAGAGCCTGGAATGCCTATTTTAAGCAGGATGAATAAACCTTTTTCAACCAAAGTCTAAATCCAGGAAAAGGCTGGCTTTGTCCACTAAATTAGGTAAATAGTCTGAGGTTTTATTAGCTCAAAAGACTGTATGCTTCACTTATTCCTCTAACCCATCTTTAAGATGGAATACAAGAGGAAATAGCTAACTTCACAAAATCAGCACACTTGACACACTGGGTTCAATCTCCAGTTTCATTAAATAAAAAACACACATCAGGGGCTGGGGATGTGGCTCAAGCGGTAAC